AACTTGGGGGTAGGAAAGGGAAAAGACAGAGGCTGGTTAAAGCTTTATCTGGAAGCAGTAGGAGGAGTGATTAGTTTAGATCATTGTTGTGGTTGGATTTTGGCTCCATTATTAGTGTGGCCTTTGGTACAAAAAAGACGTTAGGGAGGGGAAGGAGGAGGACAGCAAAACAGAAGGAGATGTTCGGAAGGTTTTGTTTTGCCTAGTTAATCTTCCCATTAACAAATAGGCATTTGGGCATGTCTGCCTAGTTAAAAATTAACATCAGATGTACTCTATCAGGCTTCAATTCTGGCACAAAACCAGGAGCCAGCTGAAAAGGTTTATAATTGGGCCAAATATCTGAATGTCACCAAGGTTTATGGGAGGTTTGGATCTGTCAGGTAATGTGAGCTTTGTGGTTGTTTTGTTTCCTAAGATCTTTACATCTTAAGAGAAAACAGAGATATTATATCAGTAACCTACATGTTTCCCTTAAAAGGTGTAAGGGTTATAGCGATCAGCCCTGGTATCTCTTCTCTTAGGGCTCAGGAAAGCGAATGAGATCTGTCTCTCCAAGGGGCTGCTGGTGCCGGGAGCACTCAGTGAGCATCACACCGCCCTCGCTGCCTTGCCTGCCAGTGGCTTTTTGGAGCTGAGGGGCTTTAAAATGAAAATCTTGTAGCAGTCTGCTGAACTGTACTGATAGAAACCTTGTAGGGGTAGTCCAGCCCGGAGAAAGTACTGGCAGCATCCGTTATTGTCCTTCATTTGTCACAGAAGCTGATGGGAAATCATTCAATTAAAAGGAGTGCAGTGGAATACACAAAATCTCAATATGAGTTTAGGAGAATGAGGGCAGCTCATCAAAGGCATGCCAAAGCCCAGCTTTATGAAGTGATTTTTTTTTTCATTTCCACTGATTTCCTAGGTGAAATTAGGTGACTGTCTGGCTAGCATAATGATGATAAGGCTGGGAAACCATACGTACTCAAATGACATACGTATAGTTTTAATAAAGGATGAGGGAGACTTGAGGGAGTGCATTAAATTGAGTAATAATTTATTATTTAGAGACCTCTACCCATTTACTCATTCTTTCTGGGAGAATTGGCTCTTCCTCCAAGGTGTAGGCCACTTTTAGAGAGGGGAGAGAAGGTAGAGGCTGGTGCCTGTGCCGCAGTAGCTAGCTGGCAAAGCCAGCTTCAGTTACTGCCTGCAGCCCTGTGCCCTGGCTACTATCCTGTTGTGGAGCTGCTCAATAAACATGCTGGGAGAGGGAGAGGGGGGAGTTGACAGGGCCTTGCATGTCCTATAGGAATGCACTGCAATTATTTCCAATCACAATTAACCTGATTAGAATAATGGACAGGAAGTGTCCCTCTGTAGCTAATGCAGTTTGGCATCAGCTGACTGAAATCCTTTGATAATTTCTGCACAGATGGCTGGGCTGAAAGCAGCACTTTTAAAATTATTATTTTCATGGTCTCTTGGTAGGCCAAAACCTCGACACCAACAACAGACCTCCCCATTAAGGCAGACGGCGCCAACGTCAACATCACAGCTGCCATTTATGACGAGATCCAACAGGAGATGAAAAGGGCCAAGGTATCTCAAGCTCTGTTTGCCAAAGTGGCTGCCAATAAAAGTCAGGTGAGTGGTAGAGGGGATTTCGTTGTTGCGGGGCTTTTGGGGGTTTTGCTTTTACAGCGGACTCTGGGGTTGGAACTAGACTCATCTCCTCCTCCCACCAATAAAAATACATCTGTTCCTACAATAATAATAATCTTCATCTCTGGGAAACCTGTCGTGTTTTTGGCTTTTGCCTGCTTAAGTGGTTTCCTTTTCCCTTTTAAAATAGGCTGAGGAAAGTATCAGCTCACAGCCAAGCTTTTTCTCACCTTTTGTACAAACACGCATGTCTTTTCCCACTTGTGGTATATAACTGCCACCTCTGCTAGTGGGACAAGGACTTTTCAAAATGATGGTATCCTTCTCATTTGGCAGGTGAAGAAATTGTTTTCTTAAGTGATTAACTGAGGGGAGGCAATGGGAAACTGCATATTAGGCAGGTGTTTCCTTTTTTTTGCATGTTTTATGTGCTGCATACGGTATTGCCATGTGAATAATTCACTTCAGATCCAATCATTTTTACAAAAAGGCATGAGAGGGCACTGCAGTGAATTCTCCTGGATTAATTTCCACCTTGAGTGTAAAAAATACATGTGGGCAAACCTAGGTTGGGGTGAAATTCTTGAAGAGAATCCATTAATTTAAAAATTTCATCCAACTCTTTAAAAAAATATAATGCACCAGAAGGGATTTTGTGGAAAGGAGGACAGACGTCATTTTTTTGTAGGAAGTGCAGCAAGTGGATTGGAGACTGTTGGAAGAAATTGTTTACTCAATGAAAAGGGCTGCTTCTGATCCTGGATAAAATTACTCAGTTGTACTAGGAGAGGGCATCAATATGCACACAAAAATGTTTCTGTGGCAATGAGAGAGTGGGATAGAAGAGTCTAGATGCATGCGCTCTGCAAAATACATACTTTCTTTTCCTCTGTGCAGGGAAAGAACATTGTAGTCATTAAACTAGATGTAAAATAAGAGGTTGAAAGGTGTATAAACAAAGCATCAAAGGCTATGAAAGCACATGGGAGGGCCTTGTCCTTGTTACAGGTATTTGTGCCCTGACACATGGAGGTCTGACTCGTTTTTCCTTCCTCATTTAATCATTAATTTTCTTTGCCTTTTGCTTTCTCTTGTCAGGGTACAGGGGTTACAGTCCGCAACCCCTCTACCCCCAACAAAATCGCAGGCACAGTATGAAATACATAAAAGGAAAATACCATGGAACCCTCTTAAACTGTTAAATGCATAAAAATCTCATGTACCACATGGCAAAATATAATGAGAACTGGAGCTGTTAAACGAATAAAGCTGTTAAAAGCATAATGCCACTTGGCACAACTACTGTGCATTTAACGGTTTTCCACTGTGTAATAAATGACATATGTGGTAAACGTGCAGTAAATATAAAAACTGCACAATTGATTTTGCAAACGTGCCCCTTATTCTTTACTCCATGCAGATATCAAAGTTCCACCCAGAATCCGGACTGGACAGCTTTTAATAAGGAGTGTTTAACACAGACTGAATGCCAGCCTCTCTGAGGTTTGGCTTAAAATTGCCTGCAAGCTTCCTGTCATTATACCCAGAGGCTTCTTGAAATAGAGAGGGACTGAGCCACCCAACAATAATTTGGGTGGCTCACCAGCTTCGGTCTGTGCCAGCTTCAGTGCACTTCTCTGGCAGCATTGCGCACCAGCACCAAAACAAAAATAAGCTCCGTAGTCTTTCACGTGGAGAAAGAACAGGGCACATTTTGAAAGCCAGATGCAAAAGGTTAAGAACAGGATCCACAAATGTTATTGTTTAAAGCAAAGTTACTGCACAGAAAGGTTTTGTTTCTTCAGCAGCAGCGAATAAAGAAGTGTTTCTGAGGCTGATGTTTCTTTTGTTTCACAGCCCTGCCAAAGCAATACTGGCTCCCTGGGATGACCCAGCACTTGCCATGCTGAGATGTCAGAGCACTCTGCTGGAGCATGAAAGTGGTTTATGGGGGCACTGGGAGGCAGGGACAGAGAAGCCGTAGCCAAGAACCATTGTGGTATGGGCCTCCCACCGACCCAAAGCCCACCTGCGTGCCTGCCCCCGGCCTGGCTTGGCGTGCGTGTGGTGTCCCACTGCTGGCCGGGGTGCCCTGTGGCCAGGAGGAGTGCCAAAAGGAAGGACACAGCTGCTTGTGTAGGGGAGAGCTGCTGGCATGGTGGGATTGTTGGCATGACATCTTGGGTCTAGCTTGTCTAAAAAACTAGTGGTGGGGCTTTCCCAGTGTTTTGTACAGACTGGTTGTGCCAGTCACAGGCTGTTGAAGATGCTGCTGATTTCAGCAGTTGAGTTATATGGTGGGAAGAGCTCATTGAAAAATGCCCATGTTTGCAGAAGAGAGAGTTTGAAACAGGGGAAAAAAGAGCTAGTCTGAGGATTTGCTTGGACTCTCCGCCAAAGTTCGTTCACTTGCTGTTTTCCACAGGCCTGGCTTGCGTTGCATTGGCTTCCTCTATTATTCCCTCACCCCAGACTACTGAGAGGCTTCCAGTTTGCTAACAAGGCATGTGTTATGTTGGGCGCTGCTGTTCTGTCAACAGTAATCCACGGTGCTGTGAGATTGTCACAGTTTTAGCAGCCAGTGAATCTCCGACAGGGCTGTTTTGACATTTTATACGCAGGGCTGTATGTCATGTACCCAAGAGCACATCCAGAGCCAATGGAGGCCTCAGTTCATCTTCTGTCTTCATACAGGAAGAGTGGTACCCACTGAGAGCAGTTATTGCAAGTGGCATCATCTGCTGGTGAAGTTAATTGACCTCTAATTTAACAAGTAGCCATCTTTCTTCTTAAGTCATGGCACAGTCTCAGTTCAGCAACTGAAGTGGAAAGGAGATGCTAGAAACTGAGGTTCAAATTAGAGAGCCCACAAGACAACATAAATGCAAGGAACAGGGCCTCACAGAGGTACCAAGGTAGTGTCATGAGGCTTCTTTAAGGGAAGCCACCTTCATGAAGATCTCAAGCCATTCATTTTAGACATTGACTTATTAATCACTCATTTACCTTAATATGTATTTTATTCCTTGCAACTTATTTCTAGACTTTTTTAGTCTTGTTTGTGAAGTGCTCTGCATCCCTTTGTATTTCTGAAGGCAGCAGGAGCTGAGGGGCTCAGTGCTCTCCAAACGCAGCCTCCAAAGCTGTCATCCTGTTTTAGTTGCCAGCTGTTAGTGATGTATGCACTGGGCAGCGTGCTTCTCTGGGGATGCTGCCTGCTAGTGCCCTTTGTCCTTTAAATGGCTAAACCTGGGACCTGCATTATCACACAGGGGGTGTTTCTGAGTGTGGCTGGAACACCAGGATTTGCTTTCCAATCTTCACTTTGGGCTCCCCTGGTTATATTTAATTCACAAGGAGATGGGTTTTCAGTGTGCCATTTCAGAGAGGTTTGGATGGCCTGTGTGTCCGCAGAGCTGGACACTGAGACTTGGACCTTGGGTTACTTCAGGTTTGGACTGTTGGTTGTGAAAACTGGCTTCTACATCCAGTTTTGCAAATGCTCTACAGTATGACTTCAGGAAAACCATTTCCACTATGACCATGTGCCAGCAGTTCTGTAATACTGTACAGCAGCATCAGCCCTCTGACCTCTTAGTGAGAGTCCTAGCACAGGCTGTGCTGTGCTCAGCAGGCTTTTTTTCTTAATCTGTGCAAAATGAATTTAGGAATATAGTTCTGTTCATAATAAAAAGTCACTATCAAAATAAATAGTGGGCATATCTGTCTGGAGCCCTGTTTGACAGTCTAAGGGAGGGTAAAGTTTGTATGAACATGTAGACTGAACTTCCCACAGTTCTCCCAGGGCAAGAGGATCTCCTTAATCAGGCTGGGGCAGTGTGGGAAAGCAGGGCACGTGCTGCTGGAGATCTGCCCCCGACAGGGCAAATGGAAGGGTTTAACCTTCACCAGTCCACTGAAAACAAAAATTAAACCCTTGAAATGGAAATTCTTCCTCAAGGGCCTGGAATTTGTTCCAGTTGCACCACAGTAAAGCAAGAGAGACCCTACAGAGCAACCGTGGAGGAAACATTAAGCTGGCATAGCTCAGTCCCTGGTTTGTATCTTTGCTATGTTTAAAAATGAACAAATGAAAAATAAACTTGGTAGGGGGCTGGAGGCTTGGGGCAGAAAAGTCCTTCAGTTGAGGTCCTTCAGGTTAAAAGAAACCCAGGGCTGTAGATGGAAATCACTACGACAGTTCCTCGCCTTTCCTCTGACTTTACCTGTTCTTGTTGAGATCCCTGCCTCATTGCCAGGAGTGTCTGTGAGCCTGTTCTCTGGCCATGGGGGGTGTTAGCCCCACAGTAGGAGCCCACGCTAGATGGGTCTCAACACCATGGCCACCTGCCCATGCCCTCACCTCACGCCCGTGCTCCGAGGAAAAAATAGAGGGATGCAAGAGGGATGAGCAGTGTCACTCTTGAGGCAGGGTTAGCTCTAGAAACCCCTGATTTTGTCCTTCCCTCTCTTTCCTTCCCAACTTCTATTCCCTTGTATTCATTTGATTTGATAGGATGCCTTCTCTCCCCCTTTTAGCTTATAATAGGCGTTTTCTGTGCCCTTAAACTAATTAGCTTTCAGTGATGATGAACAACAGCTAGAAAAAACAGCTGGTGGTGAAGATGCATAGCATATATAGTGTATGCATATAGGGTACTTCTTCTGTAGCGTCTTGGTGCCTTTAGGATGTTGTCAGTCTCTACAGTTGGGGCATATCTGTTGTGCTGATATTTTGATATTCTTGTTACACATGGACGAAATACAGAAAGGCATTTCTCTTCTTGACCGAACTTAAAATTTCTTTGAAGTACTTTTGGACGTTAACTTCTTTTTTACAGACTTCTATATGCAGTCACAGTGTGACGCCTATCCAGGACAGCATCTGCAGCAGTGTGTTAGGCTCTCAGCAGCTGAGGAAAGCAGGGACAGTTGTGGAGCTGGGGCTTTGCTCAGGATGTCCTTGGCAGACCTGGGAGCTG